AATTTAATTAATAATTAAGTAATTATTATATATTTATTAGTTATTAAGTATATCTATTTATTAATTATTAATTAATATATAATATAATTAGTAATTAATTATTAATTATTTAATATAACTTTGTTGATAATCATTAATTATACTATGTTGATTCCTGCACAATCTAAATGTTAAAGTTACTTTTGGACTGCTTTTAATTTTAGCTATAGATTCTTCAAAAAAATTTTAAAAAAATTATTTTTTATGATTTTTACCGAGTACTATTATCAATTTTTGATGACGAAAGAAGTGATTTTAGACTCCAAGAAGTATTACCAAACGCACCAATAATCTATTTTCTTATCCCGAAAAAGGAGGGAAAAAAAGGTGTTTTTCAGAAAAAGATTAATGAAGGTGTTTCACATGACATACGCCAGCTATGGGCATATTTGGCATTGCATATTGGCTTTTTGGTGCATTTGAACTGTAAATTATCAAAATATCCTTACGAGAAAAAAAATTAAAAAATTATATAAAGAAATCATAAACATTTAAACATTTAAGAAAATGCATACATTTTTTTTCCGTTTGTTTTGTCCTTTTTATTATTTTTTTAAAAAATTTAATATATATATATATTTTTTCTTTTTAAGAGTACATTGGTCATTTTAAGTCAAATAGTATGTTGATGGAGAAAAGTATAACTGTCGTAATTATCCTTATATTGAGGGTGCCGGTTTTGTAGATCAAAATTAAAAATAAACGCCGTAGAGGCGTGAGGTGTATGATTTCTCTTATATTCTTTTTTATCAGTAAGATTTTACGATAACTTAAAGTGAACTTAACTCTTAAATGGAGGGTGACCCACTTCAAATCTTGTGTGATTGTTTGATTGTTTTTTCTTCGATTTATAACTCTCGGCACTAAAGAATCAAGGTGTCTAATTCTTAACTGACTTCGCAGTCCATTCACTTTGGCAACGGATCAAAACTAAGAAGGCAACTTTTTAATTCACAATGTAGAAGGTGAAATGCAACCCTTCTGTTTTCACTGCAGTAGATGCACCGGTTAGCCTCCTTTATGTC